GGAGGAGGAGGAGGAGGAGGAGGAGGAGGATGCTGTCACCTTTAAAGCATTTAAACTCAGTGTGAATATGAGGCTAGGGTCTTAAAATCACCGTCTGCTTAGAAATCGCTGGAGACGGACCAGCTGGCTAGTTCATTTCTCTGCAGCCCCAGCCTTGTTGTGGCAGGATGAGGTGTCTAATCTGTAATGGAATGGAAAGGTGGTCATCACCTTTCCATCTGTGCTGAGTGAGGAGCTGGGGGATTCCAAGGAGGGTCCTGCCCATGAATTCTCTTGTAGGGGAGACAGATTGAGGGTGGTCTTAGGGCGTGAGACCCCATACTACAGACAGCACGTGTCTCTCGTCCTAGTGGGAGGTAAGTGACAGAGTTCTCTGTGCCAGTGTAGCCTAGTGTTACCTGAAGCATTAGTGCAGCCTGGGAAGTTGTTAGAAATGCAAGTTCCAAGGCTGCCCAGACCTACAAAAAGATTCTACAGACAGCATCAGAGAAGCTACTCCCTTGACTCTAATGGAAACCTCCAACCCATGCATGAATCTACCCTCCGGGTTAGAGATATCCCGGCTAGCATGAGTGTTAAATGATTTCACAGACATCCATCTCTCTTTAGGTTGTTTTCCTCTTCTGCGCCTATGTCACAGTGTACATGATCTATTGGAAGTTCCGGAAAACATTTGACATTGAAAATGACACGTTCCGGCTGGAGTTCCTCCTGGTCCCAGTGATGGGCCTTTCCTTTCTGGTGAACTACAGTTATGCACCAATGGAGGTGAGTGTCATCCCAAGGCAGCGATCCCTTCTTTCAGTCACCCGGGCCTGCTTGCTACCAGCCCTTTGCTCACCATTCACCCCACCCGGCAGTAAAGGGGGCACATCTGTTCAGTCAGGAGGTTCGAGTTAAGCAGGTGGTTGGCCCTTCTTCTCTTGGGACCTTGTGCCCCCAAGAGCACTCCAGGCTAACTCAGCAGGCCTGGACTTCAAGAACAAGCATCTCTGGAGGTCCTATGCTGGTACATATGGGCGATATACCCTGGCATGCTTGGGCTGTACCTTGACAGCGTCTTTAATGTCATATAAACTGAGAAATACATATGAAAACACCTTGCGGACATGCTTGCACTGCTAGAACCAGCAGGGACTACACTCCATAAATGATGGATGGTATAACTACTGAAGTTCCGGGCTGGGGGCACTGGGAGAGTGCTTGCCCCACGTGCATCTGGCCTTGGCTTCTATCTCCAACACCCCAAAAAGCCACACACACAACTTCTTAAACCTGGTATGGTGAAGCATGCCTGTTGGCTCCAGACCTTCCTTAGCTGAGGCAGCTAACACTGAGCCTATCTGGGTGATACTGTTCTCTTCAGCAAACACGTTCACTACACGTGGGTCCTTCCTCTAAAGCAACAGACCCTTCCCAGCCTTTTCTACTGTTTTCCTCACAGGTCCTCTGGACCTTCTCCATCTATCTGGAGTCAGTGGCCATCCTGCCACAGCTCTTCATGATCAGCAAGACTGGGGAAGCCGAGACCATCACTACTCACTACCTGTTCTTCCTGGGGCTGTACCGGGCACTCTACCTGGCTAACTGGATCAGGCGGTACCAGACAGAGAATTTCTATGACCAGATCTCCGTGGTGTCTGGAGTAGTACAAACCATCTTTTACTGTGACTTCTTCTACTTGTATGTGACCAAAGGTAGGCACTCCTGGCTCTACGTCACCATGCACTCTGTATATGGTATTCCACCTGGTCTGAGGGAGCAGGGCCAAGTCCATCCCTCTGGAGCTTATGTGGATGGATGGGTGAGGGCCAACCACAGACCAAAGGGAATCATGTGTGTACAGAGGGGAGAACTGGGAAGAGGCTTTTGACCAACCTGGCTGGGAAACCTAACTCATAATTGTATAACCTCTAAAGCAGGCAAGAGCAAGGCATAAACCCTGACACCCAAGCCAGCTAGGTTCACTGGGGGCTTCAAGGGGCCATCATTAAGGGCTTGTTACGGCACCACCGAGGCATCTGTAAGAACTCATTTCAACTAGCCCAGCAGCTCTGCACTGCCATGCAGGGAGACTGGTCAGGGTAAAGAGATGCACAGGGTATGGGAACGGAACAGAGATGTGCTGATGTTAACTATTTGATCTACAACTATAACCTAAATGGGGACAAAAGGTGACAAAGACATGGCTAACCTGAGATGGAGTTTCTGCTAAATTAATGCCTCCTACAAGGTGGCAACTTTGAAGGGACAGCAGGTTGTAACAGGCTGTGCCTTTAATCCTAAAACTAGGAAGGCAGAGGCAAGTCTAGCTCAAGGATAGCCAAGGTCAGTGAAACTTAAAAAAAAAAAAAAAAGGGGGTAAAACATTCTTTTTTGGAGCTGGGAGGTGGTGGCACACACCTGTAATCCCAGCACTTGGGAGGCAGAGGCAGGCAGATGTGTTTGAGGCCAGCCTGGTCTAGAGTTCCAGGATGGCAACGGCTACACAGAAACCAGTTTGGGGGGGAGAGGGTGCAGACCCAAAATCTTTTAAAAATTACATCACTCTCTATTTTCTTCTAGTCCTTAAAGGAAAGAAATTAAGCCTACCAATGCCAGTCTGATGAGATGGGCCACAGAACCAACCATCTGGATTGCTCTCCTTGGTGACGAAGAGCTAAGACCTGAGACTTAAAATGATTGGTGCAAACTGAAACAAAGCACTGATAAACTTCCTAGCTCAACATCAGCAGGACCCATCCTGGATATGATGTAACACCTGGTGCTTTCGCCCAAGAATGGTGCCTTACAGTGAATGGAAAGTAAGGTACCTCCTCCATGAATGACCATTGCTCCTTTATGACTATAGAAAGTTCATGCCAAAGAATGGGCAGATCCATCTGCAAAGACATTTCCTAGGTCAGTGCTTAACTGAAGACCTGGTGTGTGTTAGTGACACAACCAATTTCCACACTTCATCTAACCTGCAAGCAATCCAAATCACCAGCTCTGCCAAATGCTTAGGACTCCTAATCTACTGTGTAACTAGATTCTTGTGCCAAGACTCACCAATTCCACCCTCCCCTACCAAGTCTGAGGTACTAACTAGGATGACTAGCACATTCACCTCCCAACATTTGCTGCTTGGAGGAAAACATTAGAACTACACTTAGTTTTAATGTAATAAAAAATTCACACCTTTATTGTCAAGTGTTTATTTATACCTACAAAAGAAAACAAGATGGTATCAAAAGGACAGTTTACAAACTAATAGTAGTAACATAGCTCTTAGCATCCTGTGCCTTAACATCATACCTACAATTCAAGTCTTAATGACAGGAATGTGTTGAGCGACCAGCATGGGCATTAGCAGGGCACTGATCCAAGCAAAAGCCACCAACCTTTTAGATGACAAGTCTGCACAATGAACTGTTAGGGAGGTCGGGAGAAACAGCCCACAGCCTAATACTGAAGCCCTTTTCCTAAATGAGTTAATCACGAAGGCAATTAACCCAGCTCAAAAGGTTTGCCCACATCTGTTCTCAGAGCAGAACTCAAAGGACAGACAAGGAGACACAAGTCATTTGCGCCAAGTAGGAAAACTGCTAGTTTTCTGCTGTACCCAGGCCAAAAGAGCTGCTGAAATTTGGAATCTGCTTTTATCTGGATTATGCCTCTGATGAAGAGGGGAGGTAAGCAACCTAGCTGCTGCTTCATCCCCAGAGGCGGTAATAGAAGGGATGTTTTAAAAGAGCTGCACTAGCACAGGACAGCCCATGGTATAATGCTTAATCAAAAATAAAAATAAATTTGGTTGTAGAAAGAAGTATCTCTAACAGGCTGGTCAGTGTCAGGGATAAGACACTTCCTTTTGGCAGGCTTAGAAACAGACAGGACACATACTTTGGTTTCAAAGCAACGAGCACAGCTGCCACACATCTGTGCCCATCTCTCTCCCTTGGCTTCAGTCTGTAAAACAGTGAACAAAAGGATGCCAAGCATTCACATGCGGATAATCCAGCATATGCCGACAACCTACCTGTTCTGTTGCACACTGAATCCTACTTTCAGTCCCTCAAAACCATCCCTTTTCTCTTCCGGAAGAAAAACGTCAAGTATATTGACTGTTACGTTTTATAAAGCAGCAAGCACCCTCAGGGCACAGCCAAGGAATGCAGTGGAGCCTCCTCCTTTAACTGTTCTGTGAACGAACAGCACAGGAAACAGCAACACAGAAGGTCCCACCATTGTGATCTAATGTAGGAACTGTAGCCATCTATTGCCCTATACTGACAGGGAGACAGAAGAGCAGAATATTCTTTCCTGCTTCAACTGTTGTTCTTACAAGTTTCAGGGGGGAAAAGCGTTTAATAAAGGGATGAGACAAGCTCACCCACTTTCACACTCAAGAGTAGGGTGGACCTGGGCTTTAGTGCTCCGTGAGCACTACCTACCTGTGAAAAGCTGATGGCGAAGGGATGCCCAGGATGAGCGCCTCCAGCTGCTACAAAGCACCGCACAGAACAGGCTGTGAGGAGACTAGCTCTTCAGCGGTCCTGCTCAGGAGAGCCTGGCCAAGCGGGCAGAGCAGCCCACGAAATCATTCTTACTCTAGCTCTAAGAATACTGTGTTTAAGAGGAAGATCTGCTCGTATGCAGTCCGTCATTTCTAAAGATGCATTGTAGATTCAACTGCCTGGGAAGTTTCTGCTAAGTACTGATGTTTACCACTAGCTCATAGTGGCTATCTGGCTAGAACAACTTTTAGATGGTCCTGGTTATTATATTCAGTAAGAAAACCAGGTGCTAGTCTACCCAGCAAAAACAATGCCATATGTATACTCTTTTAAACTTAAAAAAAAAAACAAAAAAAAACCAAAACAAAACATGTGAACTCAGAAATGTAATTTCTAACTCAACCTAACACTAATTTTTATTAACTGGAGGAAAAAAGGGGGGTGGGGGACAATGACAAGAAAACCAATTAGGAATTTTCTGTTGAATGCACATAATGAGCCATCAGCCAAATTAACTGACAAAGCAGTCTTTAAAACTTATCAAGCCTGAGTTATCTAACTTCAGTAACCTAAAACCTACCATGGACAGTGTGCATGGAAATCCCTCTTGGCTCCTCCCAGTCTAAAGATTAGACGCCATCTCCTGCGAACAATTCATCTTTCCCTACCCTCCCTCCCAATGATAAACAGGCTCAACAAAAGCGCCTAATACCTTTAAGATGAAAAATAGCTCAATATCCTCAACATGCGTTAGAATGGGGGAAGAAATTAATCTTTTCCAGTCAGCTACATATAGATATAGATATATATATATTTTTTTCCTTACAAAATCTGTTATTACAGACTGGATCTTTTGGGCGGGCAGAAGAAACCTGGCAGTGAATTTTTAACTAATCTGCATTAAAAAAAGATAAACCATAATGGTTGGGAAAAGAAAAAAAAATGAAAAGGTTTAGAAGGGTAAAAGAGAAGAGTGTTCCTCTAGATGTAATTAATCTGCAGGAGTCACTCCCACCAAGCAGTTTCATTTACGGGATGGAGGAGGAGGAGGAGGGGGAGGAGGGTACTGGTAAGCAGTCTGCCCCATGTAGCCTATCATATTGGTAGCTCCTGGAGGCTGTGCAAACTGCTGTGACATCAGCGGCTGTGGCTGCTGCCCAGATCGACCTATCCCGCTAAACTGCTGGCTGGAGCTCTGGGAGCTCCTCCCGGCTGAGGTGGTGCTGCTAGCCCCGTAGGTACCAGCAGCGTACTCCTGGGCTGTGTAGCCACTGGTGCCATAAGCAGCTGCCCCATAGGTGCCTTGAGCATAAGTGTATTGGCCTGCTTGTGCCCCAAAGGCAGAATTTGGGCTTCCATAGCCACTGCCATTAGCATAACTTGCTCTATCGGTTTCACTACGATCCCTGTAGCTTGTAGAATCTCTCCGACCACCATCCTTGACCCCTCGAAGCCTCCGGTCACACTCATCCTGATACATCAGATTGGGATTGTTGGCTGAAGAAGTAGTCCGGTATCGAGAGCGACCTCCTGGTGGGAAGAGAAAAGTATATTTAATGCCAAGTATGTGATCCAGACAAAGTGAACATACAGGGGCCACAGAAATACTTGACACATCTTTGTCAGCAATGCTAGTCTCTTAGCCAATACTTTACTCAACTTGGTGACAAAAACAATCTCTTGTTTTTTCAACACATGGTTTCTCTGTGCAGGCTTGGCTGTCCCAGGCTTAATTTGCAGACCAAGCTGCCCTCGAAGAACTCAAGAGATCCGCCTGCCTCTGCCTCCCTGAGTGCTGGGATTACAGGCACTCGCCACCACATCCGGCAACAAAAACAAAGCTAACATACTAAGCTAGGGAGCCAGGAGCTTAGAGTTGAGTGCAACTCACAACTGTAGTTCAACTATAAGCCTCAACTAACAATGCTAAGTAAGCAATGACAAAATGATGCAGAACTACCTAATTCTCCAAAGGTATAAGAAGTAACAAGAGTTTAGCTTTAGAAGTATTTAAAAGTTGGTCTAGCTATGAAACTCAAGTAGTTCCAAAAAGATACACACCTGGCCTTTTCTCCACCAATTAAGAATCACAGGCATGTACTACTAGTTTAATTTTGAACATGCACCATGTGACCCAAAACTTAAAAAAAAAATAAGGGTCATAAATTCTCAACTACAGAAATACTGGGCTACAATACCACAATGACAAAACTTACTTTGTGACTTATAATGAAGTCATAAAAACCACTAAGCATTCTCCTCTGACTTCTAAGCAAGCACCTTTACACATCAAAATAAAACAAAAAGAAAGAAAAAAGAAAAACTCAACAAGGCACAATCAGCATTAGGAAAGAGTCCTTGGAAAATTCCAGGACTTACCCTTACCCCCTCCTCCTCCGCCTCCTCTGTGGTCCACAAGCTGCATCAATTTTGGATTAATGGCCTGATTGGCCTCTTCCAATACTTTGATCAGCTCTCTAGCCTGCTTTAGGTTCCCTGGGGTAAAGAAGGTATAAGCAGTGCCCTTGTTGGTGCTCCGGGCTGTTCGGCCAATACGGTGAACATAATCCTCTGAGCTGTTTGGATAATCATAGTTGATCACAAACTTGACATCTTCCACATCTTCCAGGCCAATGATGAGTCATTGTGTAGGTTGGTGTGGCAGAGAAAGAGAAGGTAAAGACATGCCAAGAGGTGGAAAGCACGAATGCAGATGACAGCAAGAGGAGAAAAGACCAAGTTAGTCACCACTCTGAGTAGGTACAAAAAAGACTCATCCCAACAGAGTAAAAGAGGATCAGTGACTCTCAGGACACACACGGGCACTGCATCTTCATCTGCTATAATCCTATGGGAGCCCCATTCTAAACCCCCAAACTCCTGCCTCTTCTGTGACAGTACGCTGACAGGAGCTACACTAAGACCAGAGTTCAAACTGACACATTATAGTGGCACCCCTTTCAAAGACGGAATGAAGAAGAAACCAGAAACCATTAAAGTGCAGGGCCAAATCACTTCTACTCTGTTGGGAGAAGCCTGGCACAGTCTACCAACAACACAACCAACTTACCTTCAGACCAGTCACAGAGCAACATGGAAAGGCACTTCATCTACACACTACATTCTCAAACTAAACAGTTAGGTTCTTTCTCGCTCTTGTATTTAAAAAGCAAACCAAAGAAAAAATGCACACCTATTTTGCTTTGCGTGAGCACCCAGATTAACTTTCCCTTTTCAATCACCACAAGAACACATTACACTAAAATTTCACTGTACTACCAAGCCCAGCTTCTCAAGTGAGGTTCCCCCCGCCACTCAACTCAAGGTTATTGCAAACTTAGTACTTGTTCAATGATCAGATTGTCTATGTGACCTGGACATTCAATAGTCAAAGAACAGGGGGAAAAAATCATGAAACCTTGAGACACACATTTAATATTCGGTACATGGCTAGGAATTGGGCTGGGTAACCCCCTAAAACTTAAAAATATGTAAATGTTAGTGTAATGCTTTCAGCTAAATGTAGTTTTTAACCTACTTAACAAACAAATTTAATAACAGAATCCTATTTTTTTGTGGGAAAAAAAATCTGCATTTTACAAAGAATATTCTGAAAATATCCTAAATAAAACACAGATTTTTGTGATAGAAATAATTAAAAAACATTCTCTGTTTGTTACCAGACCGATGCACACTCCCTCCTCCTTTGGGAAACCGCTGCAGCCGATCCCGTCTCTTTGCCTTTTATATTTGGCGGCCTCCTTTCGAAAACTCCGCCTTCTGACACGGGACCACTGGAGCGCGGGGAGCATGCATCAAGGGTCCGTGGCAGTGAGAAGTCCCCACACACGCTCGCTCTGTGAACTGGCTTAGATGCTTCTCTGTAGCCCCATTTGGTTGCCATGCGCCGGAGAACCTGGGTTCAGGTAAAAATTTCAGGTCCTCCAACGCCTCCCCAAGGTAATTGGGGTGATTGTAGAAAAATTAAAAAAAAAAAAAAGTTACATCCAAAGGGTCAGACCGCATCTATTGCCCAGACTGGATTAATTTCAGGGGAAAGGGGAGATTAAAAAGAAAAAAAAAATTCAGCTGTTGTTAGGGGCGTGTGAAGTAGGGGCATTATGTCTGTTTCTTATTACAATAAAGGCTCCTCAGTCTTTACTGACCCCTAAAGTCCTGAATCACACCAGAAAGACGAGAAGGCACTTATCACAGGGGGCAGCTTGAGTCTCCGGCTTGGGTCGTTGATGTCACAAAGAAAAAATATTACAGGGCAAGGATGGAAGACTGGGGTGGGGTCAGGGAAGGGGTTAACTCCCAGCACCTCTTCAGAGCCTGGCTAATGCTCCTTAGCCACTTCCACTGAGTGACATGGGAAACAGAGCACGCTGAATTACTGCAACTGGATGCACAGGAGTGTGCTTCCAAGCAGCAAGCACTGGGGCTTCAGATGCTAACAGCTGGAAGTGTTTCTGGAGGGGCTTGACAAGGGGGGTGGACACGGTGCAAGGTCTTCATACTAGAAGGTGTCCTGTGTGCACAGCTGCCTGGGGTCACCTGAGAGCAAGCACAGAATCTGGTTCTCCCCAGTCCAGGCTGCCCTGAGGTTACTGGTGCACTGCCACAATATTATCTTGCTGTCTCTATAGAAGATGCTGTAGCAGGGTAAGAAGTGGAAAGTTATGTGTTTTGGCCAGTGGCCTGGGAGAGCCTGAGGTCTGGAAAGCCCTACGCCATGGCCTGAAACTCCAATCACTAATTGGGAGAGTCTAAGACTAGGCAGCAGGCTCATCTAGAGCGGCTTCGGGACAATGTAGATTTGCCTCAGCCATGTACTGAGTGATCTGCAGTTGATATCAAAGCTTCTGTTAAAAAACAAAACAAAATAAATTCAATACTTTTAGTTCAACAGTGTGTAGTTTAAACAAAAAGAGAAAAAAAAAGAAAAAAGCAAAATAAAAAATATCCCAGTGTAAAGGGAACAGTGGTCACCTGAGAGGACTATTATGAAACTATGGGAGTCAAAGAACTTACCTGAAGGGATCATTTAAGAGACCATCGCTCCACAGAAGTGAAAAAAGGCCTGGTGACTCAGCTGAAAATAGCACCCCTGTCTATGAGGTAGAAGCCTTCACTTTCCAGGATCTTGTAGGACCTTGGTCAGAATTCTGCCATTGTGGTGGGTTTTCTCCCTCCTTTTGATTTTTACAAGGCAGCAAACAAAGGGGCCCAAAACAAGCACTGATGTTGAGTAACAAGAAACAGACTCAGGCACCTTCCCTCTTCCCCTCACTTGAATGAGGGAGGGTGGGACGAAGAGTCTAAGTTATTCTAATGGTAGCCAATTGATTTTGTTGAAAATATGCAAGGGGACATAGAACAAAGATTTTTAATTGTCTAGGCAAGATGCACAAAGAAGCTACCAGCACATAGCAAGCCTGTTTTAAAAACCACCATTACTGAAAGCTTTTAAGTAAACTGCTTTCAGGCTTCTGCCTCCTTTCCCAACAGGCCCCAGTTCTAAGGGCACAGACCCAGACATGACCTCAGAGGGAAGAGGCAACTTCCCACCATGGCTGCAGGGCACTACCTCTGAAGGAGGAGTTAAAGTGAATGATAAAAAGACTCCATCACTGCTGCATTCAATCTTATCACCTCTATGTTAAATTACACAGGGAAATTTGGCAATTCTCACCTTACTCAACAGGAAATTAAACACATCAATAATGGTTCCCTCCTGATGGATAGGATTTCCATTCTCTAAAACAATAACTTGCTATATAACCTAGGCTGACCTCAAACTATTGAGTCTCCTGCCTAAGGCTCCCAAGTGCTGGAATCTATAGGCATACACTACCTCGCCCAGCTGTCACAATCTCTTCTTCTGGAGACATTCTTACAGTATAGGCCTGGCTGGTCTGTAACTGACTACACACACTAGGTTGGCCTCAAACTAAAGAAACCAGTCTGTCTGTCTCCCAGGTGCTGGGATCAAAGGCCCGTATTACCACACCCAGCTGAACTAATCCTTATCAATGTAAACATTTGGGTGCAGACTTGTTCCGTTCTCAAAAGGTCAAAGTGCCATGGGCTATTTGCATGTATCTTAAACAGCAGTTGAAAGCTCAATACGAACATCTTCAGATTAAGCTTTTAAATTGGACAATATGCCTATATAGCCAAATGATGGGTAAAAGAAGGGATAACTGCCCATCATTTTTTAATGAAGTAATACTGGGCAATGCAGATTCCATAAAATGACATTACATTTTAATCAAACCTGTTTTGTTTAATCATCATGGAAGTGGCATCCTTGTATCTGTAGTCACACGCTGGTAAAAGGGGAAAACTAGAGAAACTAGCTTTTGAGAGCTAGGTTTAATTATGCTCCTTCTATCCAGCCAGAAAACTGAACAAAACTAAGAAATTAAGCTGTAAAATGAATGACTCCTCTCCCTGTAACTTCACAGTCATGCCTAAGCCGTGCTGGCAGACCAAAGCCTATTTGTTAGGAGCCAGACAAAACTTTGAAAATAAAAGAGAACCAACCACAGAAAACCCAAAATAGTATTTAAAAGACCCCACAAAAGTTAAAAGAACATTACAGGGGGTGGTAGAATCATACTTAATACTCTCTTTTGACTAAACTCACATACATACAATTCTAAATTTGACATGACAAGAAAATTTTAAAACCAAAAGAGAAACAAACCACTGACAAGAGACCCTATCTATACAAACCTAGCCCACGGGAGGCTACATCCGTGGCGATGAGGATAGGAGCCTTTCCAGACCGGAACTCTGAAAGAAAAGGGGGGGGGAGGGGCAAGTTAGGGAACTGAGGCTAAAGACCATCTATAAAAGACAAGAACAAAGAAAAATCATTCCCCCACACAACCAAGAGGTTGTGCCTTCACAATGTTGGCTTTGTACCTTTTTACAGCTTATACCACGGCCATTTTAATTTTAAAGAAAAGTATTTTAAAGTTTAAAAAAATTTACAGCCAAGGAATGGTAGCACTCTCTTAATCCTGGTACTTAGACAGAGGCAAGAGGATTGAGTTTGAGGCCAACTTGGTCAACATGGTTAGTCCTAGGACAGCCAAGGCCACATGAGAGCCTGTCTTGAAAGCAGACAAAATTATGTGCATTCACCTGCATATGTTGAGTGTAGGTGCCCAGAGGCACAGAATCCCCTTGCAGGTGGAATTACAGGTGACTGTTGAGCCACCAGCATGGGTGATAGATAGGGCCTCCTAAAGAGCAGTATGTGCTCTTTTGGCTGAGCCATCTCTCCAGCCCTTTTCACTTGAAAAAATTATTTATATTATTCTAAACTTTAAAAAACTCTGAAGATATATTGAAAACACCATAGTTCAATGAATTAGAACATGGCTGGGTGAACTTTAGTCTATAAATAAAGTCTAGTACAATACTTATTTTGGCAAATAAAACTGTTGTTGGGAAGGCACCCAGGCCACATCTGCAATACTATGACCTCCTGTTTATGTGCAGATACCACTCCCCAAAATAATCTATTATCTGGTTCTTTATAAATTGGAGGTGGGAGATGACAGACGTCAAAAAGCTTTATTGTGCTATGCATAGTAGCACACACTTTTAAACCCCCCCACACAACATCTGGGAGGCAGAGGCAGGTAGATTTCTTTGAGTTCAAGGCCAGCCTGATCTACAAAGTAAGATCCTATCTCAAAAGAAAATGCTTAGTTTTAGTCTTACCATTAAGTACCCAATCTCTTTCTGGTTGACTCTTGTCTCCATGGATACACATAGCTGGCCAACTATCAGAAGAATATTTTATATTAGAAATCTTTACAAAAGAAATATTAGTACAAATTTTGATCAAGTTCTTTAAGCTACATAATACAAGACTGTGCTCATTTACACATACAATTATACATCAGGCTAAAATAACACACACACTTGCAACTGCCTTAGCATAGCATAGCATAGCAGTGGTTCTCAACCTTCCCTAATGCTAAGACCATTTAATATAGTTCCTTGTGTTGTGGTGACCCAAGCATAAAATTTCATCATTACTTCAGTAACTATAATTTTGCTGTTATAAAGTATAATATAAATAAATATCTGATATGCAGGACACCAGATATGCTAACCCTGTGAAATAGTCTCTCGACTCCTTCAAAGAGGTCATGGCCTACTCTACTGGTTGAGAACTGCTGGCATAAAGTTATCTAGATGCTGTACTCACCCATCTCTGCGCATCCTTCGAGTGAGGTCATCACAGCGCCTCTTTGTCTCCACAAATATTATAGTCTTATTTTCCTTTTCTGCCATGATTTCCTCCATCAGCTGGATCAACCTGAAAAGACCAACAATGTAGTCATCACACAGAAAAGATCTTTACATCAATCACACAGATATTAAGCCCCAAAGCTACATACTTAAGAGTATGGTGGCACATGTCTACAATCTCCCTATCACTTGGGAGGCTGAAGCAGAATGGAGAGTGCGAGACCAACCTCAGCTACGTAACAAAAATCTTCTCTTCCAAAAAGGAAAGAGACCCCAAACCTAACTTTTTCTTTTCTTCTGGTTTTTTGAGACAAGGGTTCTCCCTGGAGCCCTGGCTGGTCTGGAACTCAGAAATCTGCCTGACTCTGGAGTGCTAGGTATCCACTATGGGTGGCTCACAAGCACAGCTAACTCCAGCCCCAGGAGATATGACTTCTTTTCTTGACTTCATGGGCACAGTGCATGAACATAAACAATGAAAACTAATTTAAGCTGTGATCACAGTATTTGCCTAGCATGCATGATGGCTTGGTTCAACCCCCAGCAAGAAGTAAACCAAGTTTGGTAGCATATGCCAGCACAGGGGAGATAAGAGGCTCAAAGTCGCCTCCTGTTACACCAGGACATCAAGTAAATAAAAATTCAATCCTAACTAATTCATACCAGATTCAAAGCAGGTCTGATGTTTTTGATATCACTCCTGAGATAAATCTTAAACCTGCTTAAAAACTATACAGCTGGCATTAAAAAGCCTGGATTCAAATGATGATTACATTCAACTACAATGCTCCAATGAATGACAGAATGTTTTCAACCTAAAAAAAAAAAAAAAAACAAACAAAACCAAAACCCTGGCTTTCTCAGCTATGATGTAGTACAACTGTAACCATAGCACTTGAGAAGCTAAGGAAGAAGGATCATGAGTTTGAGGACCACTTTAGGATACCTAACGTGGCCCTGTCTCAAATATAAACTAAATACTATAGCAAAATAAGACAATGAAGTCTCTTTTCATACTTATGATCTTTTTCACTTTCCATACAGACATCCACAATCTGCAGGATGTTGTGGTTGGCACTCAACTCCAGATTGCCCACATTGATCTGGGTGTAATCACGCAGGAAATCCTCTGCAAGTTGCCTTACTTCCTTTGGCCAGGTTGCACTCCACATCAGTGTCTGCCGGTCAGGCTATCAAGAAATGAAGGTTTTCCTTTAGATTAAGGACCCATATGACAGTCAAACAGATTTAAGTAGAGTGAAATATCAGCTTTACAAACCCTGATTTGGTCAACAATTTTACGGATCTGGGGCTCAAAGCCCATATCAAGCATTCGGTCAGCCTCATCCAATACAAGGTAAGTACACCGGCGAAGGTTTGTCTTTCCCGACTCCAGGAAATCTATTAGGCGCCCAGGAGTGGCTATGCAAATCTCAACACCTATAGGGCAGAAAAAAAGTCTTCTCTGAAAACTCAGTACACAGAAACTTGTAAGCAGCAGCCCTAGTGGCCACATTTACAGCAATTGCTAACTGTACAGTAACCAAAGAGTATGTATGGTGTAAGAAATCTCCACAACAGTAGGTTGTCTCTAGCCACAAGTTTTCCCCACAAAGTAGCTGATAGAACTGTATGCCAAGAATTTCTACACTATAGAAAATACTGAATTTTTTCACAAGAGCCCAGCGTTTTGTTCAATTTCATTTACAGGAATTGACAAAACATGACAACGTATTGTTTAAAAAAATTACCTCTTTCCAAGTCTCGAATCTGGGGGCCTTTAGGAGCACCTCCATAAATGCATGTACTCTTCAACCTAGAACACTTTCCATAATCATCAGCCACCTGCTGTACCTGCTGAGCAAGCTCTCTGGTAGGAGCCAGCACTAGACACTGAAACAAAGCGGGAGGGGGAAATAAACTTGTGATAACCACCCCAACTTGAACAGAAAAAAAAAAAGAAAAAAGAAAACCACCCAGAGAATCAAAAGGTACTAATTCTTCCCTTACCGTCTTTCAGTTTTGAGCAGCAGTGCACACTTGCTTGTGAGAAAATAATTTACTATTTAGAAATAGAAAGGACACTAGTGACCTCCCCACTTGGCTCACTTTGATGTGTTATGACTAGATGAAGCATAAATAACCCACTTAGGTTGGTTTACACCATGTATTAGCTACTAAAAAAAACCAAACCAAACAAAAAAGCAGGGTCAAGCAGGGACTTGAACTATGTAGTCTGAACTTATACGTGAACTTCTCATGCCCCTGCCTCAACCTATCTAAGTGGAGGACTAAAGATATGTACAATCACACCCAGTTTTGTATTACCTACCTTTAACCCCACAAGATGAACAAGTGGCTTAAAAACACCCATGCAATAAAGTTATAAATATCAGCAGGAAGTACACATACAATTTAAGCTTGGCGCACATGCCTAGAATGCCAGCACCTAAGAAGCTATGGCAGAAAGACCAAGTTCAAGGCTAGCTTTGGCTACAAACCAAATCTGAGGCCAAGCTTAGTTATGAGAGACCTTGCATAAAAATAAAAAAATGACAGCTGGGCAATGGTAGCACACACCTTTACTCGCAGCACAGAAGGCAGAGGAAAGATGATCTCTTTAAGTTCAAAACCAGCCTAGTCTACATTAAAAAGTTTGACAACTTGATCCTGAGACCCACATGGTGGGAGGAACTGACCCTTACAAGTTATCCACTAACTTTTCAGAATTGTGCTTGAGAGCTGTGGATATAAACCCAGTGGCTGGATATTTATCTAACACACACCAGGCCCTAAATTCACCCCCTAATACAAAACCCAAAGAGTAGTTTTAGAGATGTGGAGCTCAAATGGTGGGGTATTTGCACAAGGGCACAAGTTAGATACCCAGAAGCACAAAAAGAGGAAGAATGCCTCAAATTCAGTTCATTGCTGTGTAACTATGGGTAAGACATTTAATCCCAAATAAGACATGCTGGAGGGATGACTCAGTGGTTAAGGTCACTAGTCCTTTTTAGAGGACTGGGGTTTGATTCCTAACACCCATATTGTAGGTAACAACTGTCTATAACTCCAGTTCTAGGGGGTTAAAATGCTTTGTGTACCCTCCATGAGCAACACGCATGCACGCACTCTCTCTGCACGGATGCACACACATGCAGATGGTACACAGACATATGCAGGCAAAACAACTATAAACGTTAAAAAAAAAAAAAAAAAAAAAAGGAATTAAGTTGGGTTTTAGACACAGTGCCTAAAATTCAAACAACATTATTCCATGTAGTTAATCTTAAAAATTACAAAACTGTAACACACTTACAATTGGGCCATCTCCTCTTTCCAAGTATGGCTGGTGGTTTATATGAACAATTGCAGGCAGCAAATACTGCGGAAGAATGAAACAACAATGTTATACAAACCTAAGCCATTTATCTTAACATTTCCAAGTTAAATTAGTAATTAACAGTGGCCTAATGGAAAGTCAGAAAAATAAAGCACATATTTTACTTTTTGGGGTTTTGAATTCAGTGTTTCACCATGTAGCTCTGGCTTTCCTAGAACTCACTACATCGACCAAGCTGACCTCCTACTCACTGAGATTACCCCTGCTCACATATAGTATTTTAACTGAGTTTAAGAAGTATGAGGTGGGCATGGTAGCACACCTTTAATCCCAGCACTTGGTAGGCAGCAGAGGTGTGCAGTTCTGAGTTCAAGGGCAGCCCAGTGTATTCCAAAGTGAATTCGAAGAGCCAGGACCACAGAGAAACTCAAGCAAAATAAAACACCCCCCCCCCCAAAAAAAACCTGAGAAAATATAAGACAACTAGGATAATAAAGTTACCATGTCAAAAACTTGGTACCTACCGCCAATGTCTTCCCAGAGCCAGTCTGTGCAATGCCAACCATATCCCGGCCACTAAGAGCCAAAGGAAATCCCTGGCACTGAATGGGAGTTGGTTCTGTAAAGTGCTGATCCATCAGCACATCCATTACATACTCTGTAAGAAAGTAAACACATCACTGCCTTCACTAGTACAAGTAAAGGCACACACGAGGTCTCAAAAGTAGCAGTTACTGATGCTAAGACTTAGCTTTATCATTCTCCAAGAATTTTAAAACTAACCTTTGGCCAGGCCAACGCTAGCTCAAGAACTATTCTAACAAACCTAAGAGCATGGGCCCATAACTCATTTACTGTTCCCGAAGTTTACACTATATCCTATATATTCTGTTGTCTTATAAAATACAGGGGAGGGCTGGAGAGATGGTTTAGAGGTTAAGAGTGCTTGCTGTTCTTCCAAAGGTCCCGAGTTCAATTCCGAGCAACAATATGGTGGCTCATGACCATCTAGAGAGAACTGGTGTCGTCTTCTAGAGCGTAGGCATACATGCAGGCAAAGTACTGTATAAATAATAAATGGCTTTAAAGGCAGGTGTAGTGACAGACACCTTTAGTCTTCGCACTTGGGAAGTAGAGGCAGGTAGATCTCTGAGTTCCAGGCCAGCCTGATCTAGAGGCTTTGTCTTAAAAACAAAACATTTTTGACCTTTATTATTTTGAATCTATGCATGATAAAGTGTGAATTTGTGAAGGTCAGAGGAAAACTTCATCAAGTTGGTTTTTTTCTCCTTTCATATTTATGTGGGTTCCAAAAATCAAATTTAGGTAGTCTAAACACTTTCACCCATCTGACTAAGCCCTGCTAAATTACAATCTGTTCTTTTCTTTCTTTCTTTTTTGACAGGCAGTTTCTCTGTGTAGCCCTGGCTGTCCGTAAACTCAAGAAATCTGCCTGCCTCTGCCTCCAGAGTGCTAGGATCAAAGGTGTGCGCCACCGCTGCTGCCACATGGCTACTATCTTTCCTACAGAAAAGTTTTCTATTCGTCTTGTCCACAAAATCCTGGTCCTTTCCAAACCTTTAGCAACCTACCACTTAATTAATGTAGGAGTAAAGAATACTTACGTGGAAAGTTAGCATGATGGAAGGCAAAGACAGGTTTTGGACAAACATCTCCCCCTCTCACTGTAATCTCTTTCTTTCGACGGAGCTCATCAACTTCATACTGGGGGCCGGAGGGGTGGGGAGGAGAGGGAGGAGGATGAAGAAAGACAAAAGTTCTCAATTTAAAAGCTTCATTATCACACAATGATAAATATATCTTACATGAATTCAAATTTGTGATGCACATGACTAAGAGGCTCCATTTTCCACAGGAAAAAAAGCCTTTCAAGAGGAATTCCTAGGCAGCCAGGCAGTGCTTTGTAATCCCAGCACAGCAGGTAGAAGGATCACCTCAAGTTCACAGCTAACCTAATCTACAAAACAAGTCCCAGATCAGCCAGGGTTACATAGTGAGACAGCCTACAAACCGCAGAACTTGGGCCCAAATGCTCTTTCCATTATATAATTTTTCTAGACCAGCAATCACCTTTAGGTAGAGAATACACATAGGTGGTTAAAAGCACACAAATATACAATTTTAGTTTATTTTAAAACTAAGTTTGTGAGGGTGTAGTCACAACTTTATACACAAGTGGTGCTAAGGTTTGAGGCTGACACTGCTTAAAAACAAACAAACAAACAAACACCTCAATGATTGAGTACTTGCTCAGGGTTTAACAAAAGAGAAACCTGTAACCCTGGCAGTCCAGGAGCTGAAGTAACAGGACAGCAAATTAAAGGCCAGCCACAGTGAGACCATGCCACACATACAATAATTTCATCACATAAAAATTAAAACATAACACAAAGTCAAGATACGGTGATGTGCTTTATTCCCAGCAACTTAGTAAGGAAGGCAGATGCAGGGAGATCTCTGAGTCTGAGGGCAGCCTGGGCTACATACCAAGTTCCACGTTGGCCAGGGCCTGTCTCAAAAACAACAGCAAAAAAACCAAAGCAAAACAACAACAAAAACTATTTAAACAAACTGAGTGGTGGGGACACATGCCTTTAACCCCAGCACTTGGGAAGCAGACACAGGTGGAATTCTGGGCATGGGGCCATCCTGGTCTAGAGTGAGTTCCAAGACAGACAGCCAGGGCTACCCAGGGAAATCCTGTCTCAGAAACAAGAATCAAAACAAAACAAACCCACAGCAACTTAAAAAGATCTGACCTAATATAACATAAAGCACAAAACAACACTTGGATTATTAACCTCTACTTGAACATTCTCTCTATCACCCTTCTTTCTTACCGGAGTCAGTCTTGCTACTTCTGGATGTTCCACATAAAAATTCTTCTCAAACTTGGGGAGTTCACTCAAATCCCACTTCTTTTTACGCAACCGCTCCCCAGGATTACCAAACTTCTTCGGGGGAAGTCCACTACCACCTCTTGCTCCAAACCTAGAAGACACAAGAAAATGTAGATTCATTAGCACCCACTGCCCATGTTTAGCGATGGTTCCTGGAAACCCCTTTAAAAAGAACATTACATATCTTAAGGATAACAGCGTAGACTGAAACTAGACAAGATTCAAATTCTAATCCTGCAACTTTCTGTGTGATCTGGGAGCAAACTTTACTTCTCTGCACCTCAGTTTTCGATACAGAGAATAGTACTACCACCTATTTTAGCCATCTGACAAAATTACTGGGTACCAACTTCTTACCAAGTGTTCTAAACTGGTACTAGAGATTCTGCATGGAGAAAAACCTTCACAGGACCCCTCTCGTAGGGTAGGATAATCTTTCAAACTGCAAGAGCAAGACTGTGGAGAAAAACAAGCTTCAAGTGAGTCCCTCAAAAGTGTAACAGCTTTTTGGCCAATTTCGCCATATGCTGGGGCAAGCACTTCTCCACTAATCTACAAAGGCAAACTTTGGGACATTAAGGGCTTAGTGCTCACCTTTAGTTTATTCTTAAGAAAGAGGCAAAATAAAGAGCTGTACTACTTTCCTCTCTAGTCTTGATCTTTATTTTATATTTATACATTTTACTCTATCTCCTTTTTCTTCCCCAAATAGTACTATTCTTGTTTTGAGGCAGACCCTCATAAATCTTGTAGCCACATGGTCCCGAGTTACAGAAAAAAATTAATATGTAGGCTAAAGTCTTTTATTTTGTTTTTGAAAAGGTTTAATGCTAGATATGGTATTGAACATGTGCAATGCTAGCGCTTAAAAGGTGGTGGCAAGGTCAGAGTTAAAGGCCAGTCTGATCTATCCAACCCTGGCTCCAAACAGATTTAAAATGAAGTCTTGTTTTTTATATATCCTTTACAACAAACAGGCAAGCTAAACAAGAATACAAATATGGCCATTTGACAAACCTAAACTGTAAGAAATTAGAAGCTACTTTTCCTAGAACAAATCCTAAAATCATCTTTACTTGGAGTAACCTATGTAAAGTACAGAGCTTTTAAAGGCATTTTAAAACCTCATTTCCTTATTCCACTACAGAACTGGAGAAAATTTGATAGTAACTACTTTTAAAGAATTTCATCCAGCTGGGTGCGGTAACACGCGCCTGTAATCCCAGCTGTGATCTTTCTCTGGGAGGCAGATGCAGGCTGTTCCCTATGAGTTCGTGGCCAGACTAATCTACAAATGGAACTCAGGGCAGCCAAGGCTACAGAGAAATCATGTCTCGAAATCAAAAAACCAAAATCAAAAGCTCAAACCCAATTTTTAAGAAGTTTCTAGCCTAACTCAAATGAGTCTAGTGTGGCTCCCATGTGTTATTTCCATTCTTGCTGCAAGCCAACACTGCTTGAATTTTAATGATCTAGGAAAAAAAAAAAAAATAAAGCTTCTAAAATTAAGATTTCTTTACACGGCTTATTTTAACTGAATTTTCATTTTCTTTCTAAAACTGCCTCCCACTTTGAACCTTGTAAACACAAGATCTGTGTAGCCCAGGCTGGCCTTGAACGCTTAAGCTTCTGCCTTAGTCTCCAGTGCTGGGATCACTGGCATTTGACACCTCTAGGGGTCTAGTTTGCTTTCAATACTTTTGTTACTTTTAAAGGCTCCCCGCCCCCCTCTTCGAGGTGGGCTCTCTCACTACTACACCAGGCAGGTCTTCAACTTACAGAGATCAACATGTCTTTTCTCTGACTGAGTGCTGGTATTACAGGCATGTGCCACCGCTACCAGCCAAGACTTTTTTGTATCCAATAAAAAGCACACCCAGAGTTTATCCCAGAGGTGAACTGTTCCCAGTCCCTAGGTGTCAGGAACAACATTAGCATGGTTTCAGTGTACAGATTCCAGGGCACACTTTCAAGGATTTCTCTACCAACACAACAAAAGCTTCCTACGTCAACTTAAAATATAGAAACAAAACTTACTAGCTTAGGCCTCAAAATTAATTCTGAAGTACAACTGGCTCTTTAATGGGCAATAAATAAAATGTCACCTGCTTTCCTGGCTCTCCCAACTTCGACCTTCTAGACAGAAGGCAACTCTATCACTCCCCATCTAAAGGGGCGTCCAATTAACCAAACGTGACGGGGCAGGGGTAAAGCCTGGTTTAGCATGTAAAAAGGTCTTCTCCACTCCAGACCCTCCCTTAACAGGGACAGCTGGAGGCATAACGGAAAGGAAACCATGTCAAGTCCGCTTTTCCTAGACGGAACTTGAGCATCCGGGTTCTTCCCCGACAGGCGCTGCGGCTTGCGGGGGGGGCGGGGGGGGGGGGAACCATAGATGCTCGGCGGGCGGGCCAGGAGGGGCGACAAGGCCGGCCTGTCCGTTCCGAGCCAGGCCCGCAGTCCGCAGAGGCGCCCGGCCGGGCCTGCGGCCCGCGCGCCGCCGCCATTGTGCGTCGTGAGCCACGGGCTCCGCGGGCCACCCCGCCCCCCGCCCGCACCTCCCCCTTACCCTCCGCGGTCCCGGTCCCGATCCCGATCCCCAAAGCCGCCTCCGCGCATGGTCCCAAACGGATAAAGATCTGGGAGCGGGGCACGGATGGCCGAGCTCGGGAGGGCCTGCGGCTCCGGTCTAGTGACGACCGATGGCGGCTGCGCCTCCGCTGTTGGGGCGGCGGCAGGCGCGGCGCTCTCTCGCTCCGACGCGCTGTCTCCCGTCGCAGACGCCACCGTCGCCGCCTCTCTCGTCGGAGACGGGAGCAAAACACAGAGAATCGGGGCTGTTAGGGCAGTGGGGAGGTCTGGTCACGCGCAAACCAGGCGGTGCCACGGTTTAGGCGTCTCCTTCCCTTCCCAGCGACTGCACAAAATGGCGGCGGCCGCTGAGACTGCTCCAACTTAACGCTACGCACGGCCGAGACGCTACGTAAACAGCGCCTGGAGGGCTCCGCGCGATGCTACAGACATTCTGGGAATCGATTTACGTCGGTGACGGAGACGGGCGCTCCTGTCAGCCCACCTAAACAAGGCGGTGTACGCAACGGGCGTAGCGCTCTCGCGCCGCCAGCTCTAGAACGTAGGGTGGGGGTGGGGCGAGCCTCCGGCGCGACGTAACATTGTTTGCGTCGTTGGCCTGCCCTCTATTGCGAGGATGCGCAGTCTTCGTAGCGCATTCTGTTTAGAGAATAGACTTTTCCCAGCATTCCGAGCTCAAACGGCGCTTGAGGCTGGCCTTGTGCAGACACAATAGCCGCCGTCCATGTTGCTTTGGTCAGGCTTCGGGGGGGTCTGTAGGCACTAGAACCCGGAGTCTTGAGGCCTTCTTGGATGGCCTTGGCCTCTCGCCCCGAGGCCCTGTGTGCTCCACGCTGGCCACGCGCCCCGGCGCCATTTCCTTCCCATTGCCTTTCGCCGCGGTGGCGCCGCAGCCATGTTGTATGCGTCGTGTGTCTCCCTCTGCAGGGGCCGACGGTGTGGCTGGATTAAAAGACACCCCGTGTTTTCCTCAGGTCGCCCTGAGTTGCATTTTCCGAACAATGTGTGCTCGCTGGGCACAGTTGAAGCGCTCACACAGGAGCCACACCTTCCCGGAGACCTTCCTAAAGCGGGCGCCTTGGGCCTTGACCTCCAAGAAACTGGGTTCCTGGCTCGGGTCCGCGGCTGCCGAAACGGTGGGCTTTCCAAGCAGGGGTCTGCAGACCCAGTGCGGGGAAGGCAGGCCAGGCCAGGCTGCGTGTGCCACCCAGGTCCTACATTATTGTGCTTGCCATCCCTGCACGCTGCCAAGCCACACAAGCTTGGCCAAATTGGCTTTGTAAAACTGTGAGGCTGCAGCGTCCTTGAGACCTCTAGTACAGATGCGGAGAAAGGAGGCCGACATCTTGGAGGCTGAGTCTTTTCTCCTGTTCTGAGAGTTGCCCGGGTTATTGGCTTTCTGAGAGCCTGTCCACTTGTCACTTTGGCCATAAAGACAGTCATGGAGAGGCAGGCATTGTGCTAGATGCCGGGACACTGGGGAATCAACACATTCCTTTACTCAGAGTTTATTCTGTAGAGAGGGAGTCGGATGACATGTTTATTAGACTTTGCTAACTTGGAACAAGAAAGTGGAGGGCTGCAGGGGTGGAGGCCATGGAAAAAGTGCGGGCTGATTGTAACAGGAAGCCCTGGATTGAGTACATAGCACTCCCAAAAAAGATTGGAGGGAAGCCTGAAGGAGGTGGCGCGCACGCCTTTAATCCTAGCACTCAGGTGGCAGAGGCAGGTGGATCTCGAGTTTGAGGCCAGCCTGGTCTACAGAGTGAGTTCCAGGACAGCCAGGGCTACACAGAGAAACCATCTCCAAAACCCCAAAAAATAAAACAGGAGAGAAAAGGGGTAGCTACAGCCTGAGATGGAATGACATTGGGTGTTCTCAGAAGGCATCCCCCACCTATCAAATGACATCTGAGCTAAGGTCTAAAGAAAGGACCCTGTCAGAGGGAAGATCAGTTATGCAAGCTCCTAGTCCAAGTGTGGCTAGAGTTAGAGCAAGGAGAAAGGACGGTCGAGGGCCTTGTTGTGAAGGACCTGGAGACCACTTAAAGAGCTTGATTTTCTTGAAGGTGGAAATCTCTGGTTTAAAGTAGTGACATAAAGAGGGGCCCTTTTGACTGCAGTGAAAATTGAGAGGCAACAAGGGCAGAAACAGTTAATTTGTGCAGACCCGGCCTGGTGGCCCATTCCTTTAATCCCAGCGCTGGAGAGGTAGTGGCAGGGCAATCTTTCCAGGCCAGTCTGCTCTACATAGTGAATTCCAGAGCAGCAGCGCTACATAGTGAGATCCTGCTGGGGAGCGGTGAGGCAGAGATGGTGGAATTTGGTGTCGGTTAATACCATTGGGTTAGGGAGAAATGATTCGATTGTGAAGATGGAGCCAGTGAATTGCTGGTGGTTGGGATATGGAGGACTGAAGCATCAGGGGCGAATAACAGTGTTTCCAGTGTTCCCTACGAGACAACGGATAATGTCGGGGTATTACTGAACTTGGGGTCACAGTCTATATCCTAAGAAGTCACCGGCCACCCATTCCCAAGAAGTCAAAACAGCCAAATAAGTAGTAAAAGGCAGATTTATTCAGCGTGGCCGCTTTGGGAAGATATAGTTGCGGAACCATTGAATCTTCTTGTCCCCCTTTCCCATGCAACCACATTGAATACTTGTGCCCTTTCCGCTTTTTACCAGTCTGTACCCCAAGAAGTCAGCGGCATTCTTACTGTCATGACTCGGGGAAGGGGGGAGTTCCACTGACATGTAGAGACAGCGAGAGGCTAAAGGCCAGGGGTGCTGCTGAACCCCTCATAATGCACGCTGTCAACACCTGGGTTAAAAAAAGGTGTGTGTGTGTGTGTGTGTGTGTGTGTGTGTGTAATTTTTATTTTATATTATTGTTTTGCCTGCATTTATGTCTGTGTGAGGGTGGGAAATACCGTGGAACTGGAGTTACAGATGGGTGTGAGCTGCCATGAGGGTGCTGGGATTTGAACCCAGGTCCCGTGGAACAACCAATAACCAGCGCTCTTGACCACTGAACCATCTGTCCAGCCCCTAGATCAAGTCTTATGAATATAGTCAGCCGAAGACTATGAAGCACCAGCGTTGGGGATGGGGACTTCTGTACCCAGTCTAGGGTTCTCAGGGAGAGAAAGAGAGGAGAAGAAATCGCCATGAAGAGGAAGGCACCATGAGGAGTTCTCCATGAGGGCAGAGAGTTACAGCAGAGGGCCAAGGCAAGACTGAGATGGCAATTAAAAGGGCAAGGTGGCTGGGCGGTGGCCAGACCAGCAAAATTGGGTTAGAATGGCAGACTGTCTGCCCAGTGATAAAGCTTGTTGAGGAAATCTAATAGGGCTCTGTGTCATTTATTTGGGAGCTGGGGCGGGTGCTAGAAAGGCTCCTATTAATTCTACACACCAAGGTTGGTAATCTGCTTCCCCAGCATGCATGAAGCCCTGGTCCGACCGGCACAATACACAAACTAGGTGTGATACAGACCGGCAATCCTAGTATTTGGGAAGTGGAGGCAGGAAGATCAGAAGTTCACAGGCATCCCAAAGCTTCATAGTGAATTCGAGGGTAGCCTCGGGCTACGTGAGACCCTATTGAAAAAAGAGAAAAAGCTACAGTGCTCATACTTGGAAACACGCCGAAGTTATTTGGACTGGCTTGTGTAATGACAAATGGATCATAAAGTAGGTAGGTCTCCTGAGCCCTCCCTACATTTTCTTTCCTTGGAATAATTAATATTGTGCTACTAGATAAAGTCTCTGTCTTCTAGAATCTCAGCATTCTTGTCCTCACACCGCTTATATGTGTCATTATCTGATTCCTTCTACTCTCTAAAGAAGTGAGATTTAAGATTCCCTGGCAGATAAGTTTTTCATTACAAAATGAATCCAAAGAACACACTTCACATTCTTGGTGGCTAGTGAGATTACTTGGAGTAATAGTGTTTACCACACAAGCCCGACTCACTGGGCGTCATCCTTGGATTCCAAGTAAAAAGCCGGATGCAGTGGCTTGTGTCTGTGATCCCAGCACTCCTAAGGTGAGGTGGGAGGCAGGGAGAAGAGTGTCCAGACGTTGGAAGGCAGGGTACCCTAGAGTATGAAGTGAGGCCGAGTCAAGGAGAGACCTTTCCCTCTGACTCCACACATGTGTCTTTGTAGACCCTGCGCTTACACGTCATACACAATCATAAAAATTGTAAGAAAAAATGGACTTTTGCGTTCCTCGAATTTTCATGCGAAGGGTGATTGAATTGGAGAGATGGCCAGTGTTAAGAGTGCATACTGCTCTTGCAGAGGACCCAAGTTTGGTTCTCAGTATCTGCATAAAAAATGCTCAGCACGGTCTGTAGATAACTGTAGCTCCGGGGATCCAATGAACTCTTCTGGCTTCCTCAGACTGTAAGGAAGGGGCTGCCAGAGCCCAGCCTTCTCAAGAGCAACTTTTCCATTTTGCTCCCTCTTTTTGATAGCAGGGCCAAACTAGGTTTACATTCCCAAGCTTGGGGAACCAGCTTCTACCCTGCCCCTTGAAACTTTTTCTAATTGCCTATTGAACTTGTAAAAGAATATAAAACTTGCTGCTATCTTAACCAAGGTGCCTAAGTTATAAAAATATATTCCTGCTAAGCCCTCACCAACTACAGATGACCTGCTCCTTTGTTCCCCTATCACATTGAGCTGGGACTGAATGTATAGGAGGATAAATTACTTCTGGACCAAATGTTTAGGGAACTACTTTAAGGCCAGATGTCTTGGATCAGGCCTAGTCTCCAACAGATACCCCCTTGCTTAACCCATAATGTTAAAATATGATTGGATGAACCAGCCACTCACTAAAGGCCCCTTGCCTTGGTGTTTTCACCCTTTAATATTTATGTAATATTTGGGGTTCAGATCCTGAACCTCCTGATGGCCTCCCCTCACACGCAGAAAATAAAGCTTGCATGTTTAAGCTTCCTTCTCTGAAGTGAGTTTTCTCAGCTTCCTCCCTGAACCCAACCAACAAGACACCTGGGCTTATATTTATTACTCTCATATAAACACACACCCAAAAAATAAGAAAATAAATTTTTAGAAGGGCATGGTGGCGCACGCCTTTAATCTCAAGTGTTTGGGAGGCAGAAGCAGGCAGATCACTGTGAGTTCAAGGCCAGCCTGGTCTACAAAGCGAGTCCCGGATAGCCAAGGCTACACAGAGAAACCCTGTCTCAAAAAGCCAATAAGTAAATAAATAAATGAAAATAAATGAA